TAAAGACTGTCCCGACAGCTTGTCCTACACGGTGGCAAGACTGATTCGGTAATCGGCTTAATGTGGTAGCAAGACGGGTACGGTAACTCAGACCGGCACGACGGCTTAACCACTTGAAGTCAAAATCAACACCAACCAATTTGGCACAAAAGCCAATCTGTCGTGGCAGCAAGATGGGCACGGTACCTCAGACCAGCACGACGGCAATAGTGCTTGACGACAAGACTCGCACGAGCACAAGACTCAGTCTGCCCTCTGATCAAACAAGTGATGCAGAAAAAGAGTGACGAAAGTGGAAATGATAGTGATGGTGCAATAAAAGTAATGGGAAATGAGATGAAAAATAGATAAATTAACATAAAATTGATTTAGAAAAATGGAATTAAATAAATTAAACTAAGATGAGGTGAAGTGAGATAAATAAAATGAAGTGGAATAACATAAAAGGGATGAAGAAAATAAAATAAGATGAGATGCTTAAATTAAAATAAAACAAATGAATGGAGTGAGAGCAAATGGTAGGATAAAGTGAATAAGGAAAAATGAATGGAATGAAATAAAGTGAAGGAGTAACATGGAATAAAGCAAATGAAAGGGGTTGAGGAAATAAAATGTGATAGTTTTAAAATAAATATAAACAAAATGGATTTAAAAGAGAGAGAGAGTGTTTGACATGTGGGAGAAGATGAGTGAAATAATGATAGAAGAAAAAGGACACGTTTAAGAGAATGAGAGATAGAGTCATTTGTTTACTCGGATGAGAGAGAGAGAGCCTTGGTCGGGTTATTGGGTATTTAACGAAATATGCGGCGTTCGACTTGCTGCACACGACGATAAGGTAAAGTTCGCACACGGCTGGGTTTGTTGTGCGCACAGCGATAGGTAAGATGGATGCACGCGACGATATGCAAGATGGGTGCACACGGTGATAGATAAGATGGGTGCACACGGCGATAGGCAAAAAAAAGCTTAAGGAATGGTGGTCATGCGGGATTACTGAACATGAGAGAGGAAAAAAAGGACCACGAGGGTGCACCAAAAAAAAAGGCATGTGAGGGACCACAAGACAAAGGTAGGAAAAAGTGGAACCGAGGGTGCACAGGGATCAGATGGTCATGCAACAATAAAAAGAAAAGGAAAGAGAAAAGTGAGAGAAGGGAGAGAAAGAAGACAGAGGTGATGGTTGGCCCTACCGCTCGTACAGACTCCGGGGCCCACTGCCAAGGAGGACTCGGACCATCATCTCGGTCATGAGAAGGAAGAGAGAGAGAAAGAAAGAGAAAGAGAGGCAAGAAGAAAGAGAGGAGGTGAGAGAAGATTACCTCAAAGAACCCTAAGGGTACCAGCTAAAGATTTCTCTCTCCTCTCTTTCTCTCTTCAAAGAAGAAACGTGACCAGCTCTTTCTCTTGAAAAAGAATTTCCTTATTAATCAAAAGAGAGGTCCTTTACAATGAGCATTACATGCATATATATAGCATGGGGGTCCAAATATAGGTGGACAACTAATTTTTTACCTAATTGAAAATAATTATAATTTTCTTTTAATTAAATAAAATAAGGAAGATGGTACAAAATGACAGATTTGCCCCTTCCTAACAATTGGAGAAATTCCAAAACAATCTCTACTGAGAACTTAGGATGTTCTTGATGCTTCTTGGATGATCCATTCCGAATGAACAAAAGATGGTCACCTTCATGTAGGGCTCGGCATAACGGTCATTTTGATATCAATTTTAAGCCATGAATCACACTTTAAAGGCATGATCACATAACTTGAAATTCACATAGATCTTGGAAACTTTCTATTGATAGTGCGTCTTCATGTCGATGTTTTTCTATGATTTTTTTGTTGAATTGCACCGAGCATGTCACCACGATCACATTGCGACAAATGAGACTCGATTTGGCTCCTAAACGAAGTTTTGACAATCTTAGACTTTGGCCGGAATTTGGGATTCCTACTATCAAAATCTGCAATGACTTTAACTTGATCTTGTGCGAAATCCAACCGTTCATCACGTGTGAGGTTCAGACCAGTGATAGCTATGGACCTTACGCACGCGATACAACTGGACTCGCATCGATCGGGTTTGCGGGTGCTGTGATTTGACTGCTCGAGTGAGTGGATGTCTTGCTGATTTTATGCAACGTGCGGCTGTGAATCACGAACTTCTCTCTAGCTTTTATCCCGGCTCCGACATTGTCACGGGACTTGCTACATATTAAAGCGCTCGTTTCGTCGATACGAACACACTCCAATAAGTTTGAGCACGATCCGATCTCGGACGAGGGAGATATGGACGTCGTAAGTTCATTATTCGTGACTATGCTTTAATGGAGTTTAGTTGCAGGGTGGCCACATGGTAATAATATGCGACTCTTCCTGTTTCAGTTTTTTGCCCATAACTTCTTCTAGGAGCATCTGTTTAAGTTGAAATTTGACCCCTGGGGTTCTCAACCGTGCCGGATCCAATGGCAGTGGTTCCACGGCCATTTGATACTTTAAAAGTAAGATTTCAGTTATAGAAGTCCATTTTAGGGTGCTAAAGGCTGATTCTACCGAAACTGTTTCTTCGTCTGCACTGCCTTAGACATGTTGGAATGCGACAAAACTAGACAGGAGGCGTTTAGGAGTCCTTATGAAGATCTTGGTCAATTTTGAGGTCATTATGAGATTGTCAAAATTTCGACTGTTTGTCAGGCTTTATTGACCAACTTCTCCCTTTTATTTCGCATCGAGGACCCATGATGCTAAAAAATGTCTTCAAATAGGGGAGTGTGTCCTTGCCTTCTCACAAGGCAAGAGGTCTTAGGCTGGGGTTTAGCTCTTCTTTAGCAAGGGTTTTATGTTCGGTGAAGTTCGGCATGCTCGACTAAGTTATGGATTGATTGGGGTTGGGTTTTCTCTCTCTATGATCGAAAGCTTAAGGTGCAAGTTCAAGATGTCTTTCTCTGGAACAAGTTTCTCGCTCTAACTTCCCTTTCTCTATCTAAACTTCCAACCTAAGTCTTGTTGGGATTATATAGCCATTTAAAGGGTTTATGAGAGTATGTACTGAAAATTTCTTATATAGTGATATGATGGCGTTTGTAAGAGTGTGCTCTGGATGGATTGTGTGGCATCTCTAATGTTGTGACTTGGATGATTTTCAACTAGCCATACTCCAATTGATGTCTAAAACTCTTAGCCCTGGGCATGTGGCATAACCGATAGGGGTTTGTATGGTCATTACTTGATGAAGTCGGTGCGATGCCCAGTATGGTTAGCCAGGGGACTGGATATGACCCTTGTGTACAAGGGTTGGCCAGAGAGGGCAAGGGCTAATATCATCATCATTACATTGCACGACATATACACAAGATAGTTGTCTAGGAATAAACCCTCTAGGGGGTGTCGTGTACATAATAGATGTCTCCTTGCAACACTGGACTGTGTTGGAAGGACCTATGAGATAGTATGCTAAAATGGGACCGGGATTTTTCCTCAGGGAGGAACATATAATCCATAGACTAAGATCATGTTCCATTCATTTATTGGTTAGCTTTGATGGATTAAGCATGAGCCCTTGCGAAGGTCAGTGGGTCATGGGATCTGTTGGATCAGTTTGAGAAGATGACAATAAGATATTGTCTATCGAAAAGATATAGTCCTCAATATATTTTCAGTATTCTTAATTATTTGGATACATTTTCCATCAAATTATTTTAATATGTGGAGGCCAATTGGTGAAAAGAGCCCACCACAAAGAGCCCATTTTACAAGGGACATGGGGCGGCCAGATGGAGGCCGCATAGGTGGCACACCCCACTTCTCTTTCCTCTCACTCTTGACTTGATTCAAGTCATCTAGAAAGTTTTAAAATATAGAAGGAGATTTGGAAAGCGCTTGATTGATTAAAAAAAAACAAAAAACAAATAAGATGACTGAAATCAAAACTTAAAATTATCTTATTTTCTCTAATTAAATAATTGATAGAAATAGAGTTATCAAAATTAAGAGATAAGGTTCTAATACATTCTTTTTAATCATGATGGTTGATATAAGAAACGTAAAGCTGAGATCTATGGTCAATATTAAGTCTTCATAATGATGCAAACCTTATATCCCAATACTCTAGTTTCATATTATAAATATCCCCTCTGAGGATGAGCCTTTACACACTTGACATTAACCTCTCTCTCTCTCCCCCTCCAGGCTAGGTACAACCCCATGTTTAGATGATATAGATATAGAAGGGGCCACCCCCTAGTCATAAAGAGGTGGCAGGCCCTAGGTTCCGACCCTAAGTTATGTGAGTTGGTTCCCATCCCATGTTTTTATATGCTCCATCCTTGATTAAGGGTTTGCCATGATTATGAGACTAGGTTACAATTGTGATCCAAGAAGAGATTCGGTATGGAGTGATGGAAATCTTTGGGGTAACCATTGACAAGATATTCAATATTCTATTTTTTCAATCTTTTTTTATCTCAATTATGTACTATGTAATTTTCCAATCTTTGAGTTAAATGAAATTTGCTAGTGGCATGCAAGCAAGAATTCTTGATATTATTTTGTTCCTTTCTTGAATTAAGAAGTTGTCATTTCGACATTGGTAAGTGAAACAGACAACATAAAAAATAAAAAGAAAGAAAGCCGGGGATACATAGTCCCACGTTCAAGTCTCCAACTTCCAATCTCTTAAATGAGTGAGGTAAGGGTTTATATAAACCCAAAATGAAGCATGGGTGGGGAACAAAAACTTAGATCATAGATAGGTCGAAAACGTCATTATTGTAATTTTGTTGAGTGTTTTTGGGCGAAATTTCATTGGATTAGCCATGGAAATTTGGGGCTTGAAATACCATCACTTCCTAGGCCATTTTTCACAAATATATGGCCATTTTGGCTCATAAGCGCCTAGAGAATCGAGCTTCGATTACTTTACCTCAAGTTTCACTAAACAACTCTCCAGTTATTAGTGTTTTTACGGGCCGGACCCTTGCCAGCCCTGCATCACCATAGCGAAGGGCATTTTGAGTTAGAATAAGGAGTACGGTTGTAAATGTTTTTAAAAAAAATGGCAGTTTTTTGAATTAATCTGAGTTAGATCTGCGGCCGATGTCCTGAATAAAATAAAAAATAAAAAATAGGAAACAAAGCATCGATTCTTTTTCATTTTGGGTGATTACAAAGGATCGATTTACCGGGCGTCTTTGCTAGGCTAAAGCATCGATTCTACCTCGTGCTTCTGTGATTCCTCGCATCGATTCCGTTTTTCTTTGATTTGGTGAACTCAAAGCATCGATTCTACCCCGTGCTTCTGTGATTCCTCTATTTGGCGTTGTATTACTCGACTTCCATAAGCCAGTAACTGAGTTCAAGCAGCAATGGCTATGGCGGAAACACCACGCATTGCTTCCGATCTCATCGACTTTTTAAACGCTTCTCCAACCGCGTTTCACGCCGTTGGTACGATTCAATTCATTTCATTCATTTTTCTCTTTGCTTCCTGCTTGCTTTTTTTTTTTTCGTTTTTTTGTTGGAAAGCCATTTTATGAACTCATTATTGTTATTATCAATGTACATATTTCTTTTCATGATTATTGGTTTCTTTCGTTTAACTGAATAATTTTCTATCTTTTTGTTTCTTAATCTTCTCTTGCAGATGAGGCAAAGAAACTCTTGAAAGAAGAAGGATTTCAGCAGTTATCTGAGAGGGATGATTGGTCTCTTTCAGCCGGTGGAAAATATTTTTTTACGAGAAACCACTCCACGATTGTTGCTTTTGTGATTGGCGAAAGGTTGGATCAAAGTGAAAATCAGTCCGTCGTGGGTCTACATAAATTAAAACTATGCTTTTTTTTTTATCCTGAATAGGATTTTGGTTTGTCAGTTATGTTGCGGGGAACGGGTTTCATATTATTGGGGCACATACAGATAGTCCATGCCTGAAATTGAAGCCTATTTCTAAGGTAAATCCAATCCTTATACCATATGGTTTGAATGTTTTCTTCAAATCAAATCTTTGAGTCTCATATTACACTTAGGAATGTTTGGTTTGGCTGATTATGATTGATTAAGGTTAACAATTTTCATTGTAAGTTGGCAACCTTTACGAGTGTATGAAATTCTGATCATTGTTGTTGCACTTGCTGACTTGGTCGTGGGTTGGGACTTTGTTTCCTATATGAAATTCTCTTTCATTTTAATGTGTTCATCTGGAAGCAAATATAAGATGCTAAACTGCCAATTCTATTGGCCATTCATTGGAACTACCCCGCAATTTTATTTCCTTTTAGGCTTGACAAGGGGCCTGCATGCTGTGGATGTGCAGCGTAGCCTACATGCATGCCATTTTGTTAACGTTTTCATTTGGTTTAATTTGATTGGATTATGAATTCTTCAGATGGTGTTTGCCTTTTGGAAAATTGGGATGGTACATTTATATTTGATCTCCATTTTCTTTGGTAATGCGATCTTCTAAATAATCTTGAAACAGACTATTTGAATACTGAATCCTTATGCATGTGCTGCTTTTCCTTTCTTGTTTTTGTTTTGACGACGATATGGTTTTATATGTTGAAAGAATAAAACCAAAAGAAAGTTCAGCTTGGAGGCTAAAATAACCCTAGAATTATTTTGGGGTGAAGCCTAACCCTTTTTCTTCAATATCATTTTTTTTCTTTTCTTTTTTTTGGCAGGTTAGTGATGGATTTCAAATGTAAATGTTGCAATTGTTAACACCATAATCAATTAAGCCAATGCTTGATCTCCATTTAATTGGCCACTTGCAAGCATTTGGAAATTGGAAACAAGTTCTCTTTGATTATAATAAGCATTGCACACTGCTGCAAACAAGCTTGAGGTTTAGGCTAGGTCAAATCTTCCGCTCTAAAAGGTCCATCTTAGCATTTTATGTAAACCAATAGAATTGTGTAATAATGTATCTTAAGTAAAGAACTTCCAATTTTGGTTCCTTTGTTATCAATTTCCTTGGGAATATTTATATTGGTTGGATTGCATCTACAATTGGTAAATATGTTTTTCAATTAACATTTTTTCGATCTTGCTTTGCTTGGGCTTAGGGTTTTTTGAAAAATGGCTCAGTGTCAACCTGTTTTTCATTAGGACAGATTTATGCTTATTATTTGGGGTTTTTCTTTATGTTTCATAGAAGATCCTGACTTTTTGTTGCTGTTCAGTTTCGATTTTCTTTTAAAAAAGAGCTCGGTTTTTTAAAAAGAGTGGCCTCCGCTTCTGCTCCCACCCTTTTCAAATGAAGATTATAACTTGGAATGTTAGGGGCCTGGGACAGGCGTCTAGAAGGGCCATGGTAAAGGACTTAGCCACAAAACACTCCCCAGCTGTTCTTGCCCTCATTGAAACTAAGCAACCTGAACCCACCCTCCAGTTTATTTGCTAGGTCTGGGGCAAAAGACCCTGCCAGTGGGTTTCTCTAAGTGCATTTGGGTGATTTGGAACCCTTCAGATCACACCCTCAATTCCTCCTTCATTGGGGAATTCTCAGTGACTATTACCCTTTCTAGCAGTCCTGATGGGGTCTCTTGGAAATTCACGATCGTTTATGGCCCAAATTCTGCCTCCTATAGACACAGGTTTTGGTCTGAGCTGGATCAAATTGCCGCCCTACCTCACCCTATATGAGCCTTGGGTGGTGACTTCAATGTTACTAGATGGTCCTATGAGAGGAACTCCTCCACCTCCATCTCTCAGGACATGAGGTATTTCTTTGATTTTATAAATCGGCAAGAACTCCTAGATATCCCTCTCCAAGGTTGCCGTTTACCTGATCTACTCATGCTTTCACTCCCTCGCTATCCAAGCTCGATAGATATCCTTCTTGACAATTTGGATGTTAGAAGAGGCCCAAAACCTTTTGGGTTTGAATTGGCTTGGCTCCAAGATTCGTCCCTTTCCAGCCTTATCCCAATGTGGTGGAACTCCTTCTCCTCTCAGGTTAAAGGTAGGGCTGGTTATAGCTTTCAGATGAAAATCCAACTTCTCGAATCCTCTCTCAGAACCTGGAGCAGGTCCTTTTCTTGCAACTTTTCCCAAATTAAATCCTCCCTTTTGGAGTCTCTGCATCTTTTGGACAGTCTTGAGGAATCCAGACCTCAAAACTCCACAGAAAAGGATCTTAGAACACAATCCAAGATGGAATATCTCTCTATCCTCAAAAAAGAAGAGATATACTAGTACCAGAGATCAAGGATACGGTGGTTGAAAGCAGGTAACTTGAACACCGCTTTCTTTCATCGGATAGCAAACTGTCACAGGCGTGACAATTCTATTTCGATATTAAAATCCAACAATTTCTACCTGGTCCACCCCGTAGCAATCAAGCATGCCATTCTCGATTTTTTCAGGATGCTTTACAATGCCCCTTCTGTACTGAGACCTAGAATGTCATCCCTAGACTTCTTGACCCTCCCTTCAGACCAGGTTGAGTGGTTAGAGCATCCTTTCTTGGAAGAAGAAATCCTACAAGCTATTGATGCCTTAGCCAAAGATAAAGCCCCTGTCCAAATGGATTCCATGTTGCTCCTTTCAAAACTTTTTGGGAAGCCTTCCGTCCTGACTTGATCGAATATTTTTAGGAATTCTTTCATAGGGGTACTATCCACAAAGCGATTAATGCTACCTTCCTAGCCCTCGTTCCAAAAGTGGAAGGGGCAGAAGAGGTTAAGGACTTTCGCCCAATTAGCCTGCTAAACTCCTCTTACAAAATCTTGACTAAAGTCCTGGCTTCAGGACTCCAACAGGTCCTCCCCTCTGTCATCTCTCCACCCCAAATTGCCTTCATCCAAGGTAGGCAGATCCTTGACAGGGCAATGGTGGCCCACGAGTGCATCTACTCGAGACACCTATCTAAGCGTCTTGGCCTTGTCTTCAAATCGATTGGGAAAAAGCCTATGATCATGTCGAATGGTCAGTTTTGGAGGAAACCATGGCTAGAATGGGGTTTCGGGATCGATGGAGAAAGTGGATGAGGGGTTGTTACTCCCACCCTTACTTCTCTGTCCTTATAAATGGATCCCCAAAAGGATACTTCCCATCCTCGAGGGGGCTCCGCCAAGGGGACCCTCTCTCTCCTTTCCTCTTCACTATAGCAGCTGAAGTCTTCAGTCTCTCGCTCTCCCGTCTTTACAAGGCGGATATTCTTTTAGGCTTCAAAAGTTGCCCGCAAGGCCCTATGGTGTCTCATTTGCAATATGCGGATGACACATTTGTTTTCCTTGATGCCTCAACCCGTGAAGCCAACTCTCTAAATCTTTTCCTCCGGTGCTTTCAGTTAGCTACGGGCTTCAAAGTCAACATGAAGAAATCTACTATGATGGGAGTTGGCCTATCTTCTTCCAAAGTTAGAAACATCATCCCAAATTGGGAGTGTAAAGTAGAGGACCTTCCCACTACTTACCTTGGCCTTCCCTTGGGATTGGGTAAACCGAAAAAGAGACTTTGGTCTCATATCTTGGATAAGGTAGATAGGAGGCTGGCAGGATGGAAAGGTAGATATCTTTCTATGGCAGGTCGGTCTGCCTTGATCAAAGCTACTTTAGCCAATTCCCCAGTGTACCTCATGTCCCTCTTCCACATGCTTGCTCAGGTGGCTAATCGCCTGGAACAACTCATGCGAAACTTTTTGTGGTCTGGGCAGGCAGAGAAGACTGAATTCCACTTGGTTGCATGGGAAAACATATGCTTACCTAAAAAATTTGGAGGTCTAGGGATTCGGACCCTTAGGAAACACTATTTGGCCTTACTCGAAAAATGGTGGTGGCGTCTTGCTACTCAGCCCGACTCTTGTTGGGCTAGAATCCTTTGCCCAGAAGGCGCTTGGTTGCCTGATGATAGATGGCGGCCGAAAGCGTCAGGAGCCTGAAAATCTATCCTTACCTCTCTCTCACAGTTCAAAAGATGGGTACGTTTTCAGCCAAGGGCGGGCGATAGGGTGCTTTTGTGGTTTGAGCTTTGGCTGGGTCATACCCCTCTGAAACAAGCTTTCCCAACCCTCTTCTCTCTAGCCACTAACAAACATTCCACCGTTGCTGAGGAAATGATGCTAATAGGGGGCCGCAGAAACTGGAACCCTGTTTTTCGAAGTCACCTCACTGATGAGGAAGCCTTTCACTTCCAAATTCTCTTGGTTGCGCTACACTCAATTTTCATTCCCTTAAATGGGCCTCTTCACGGTGGCCTCTTTCCATAAGAGCCTTTGAATTCCAAATTCTCTTGGCTGCACTGCACTCGACTTACTCCTACTGGCCTCTTCACGGTGGCCTCTTTCCATAAGAGCCTTTCTCAATACCGTTCCTGCCAACCTGCCATCAGCCTTGGCAAAAGTGTGGGTGACCATTGCACCACCCAAGGTGCAAACCTTTAACTGGATTGCTGCATCCAACAGAGCCCTCACAGTGGGCCAACTCCAAAAAAAGGGGATCCCCATCCTCAATAGATGCGCCTTATGTCTTTCTGAGGAGGAATCTAACCCTCACGTCTTCCTCCTTTGCAAAGTTGCACATGATCTGTGGTCTATGGTAATACAACTGTTCGGTATCCAATGGGTCACGCCATCCTCGGTCAGAGCCCTTATCTCTTACGACTTGTACTCCCATTGGCCAAAAGCTGGTAAAACTCTGTGGAAAGCCACTGTAGCGGCTACCATATGGACTATATGGGTTGAAAGGAATAACAGAGTTTTCAAGGTATCAAACTACCAACCCCAGCTTTCTTTCACAGGATCACTACCTTGGTCTCCTTTTGGGCTTCCAATCATCAAACATTCGCGGGCATTCCAAAGAACTTCTTCCATAGTCAATGGGAGATCATTCTTTACCACCAACCGAGAAAGGCTAGAAGACACAACAACTGGCAGTCCCCCATCTACTGGCTGCATTAAGTTAAACTTTGGCGGTAGTTCAATTGGGAATCCTGGCCCGGCTGGCGCTGG